ATGTTGAGTCATACACTTCGTCCTTATGACGACAGTTGTACAAGACCTCGGGATATTGAAACTTGCTGGTGGAGTTTGCTTGAGGGCACCCACATGTGGGAGACTTTCCCATGGTGGAGTTACTCGTTTCAATACATGTTTGATTACTTACAGATGGCCTAATACCATAGGATGCAATATCATATCTATGAATTTCACTAGGCGTTTTTAACATGGTGCTACGAGGAAATTTTTGCTAGGTTGTGCATGTGGAGCACGTACCTCCGTGAGATATCCACCACGGCTGGTACAATGAGAATTTAAGATGATCCCACTTCCAAACACATTTTATTTTTTTACACTGAGGTATTTGATGTGCTATTGCACTCTTAACCGGCCCTTCCTGATCTTTCTTCGTTCAAGCCCCCGAAAACCTGCAAAGACGCCGGGAAGTGTTCCGGAGGTAAACCTCCGACGCTCAAGTTAGTATGGTCTCAAGAAAGGCACAGTATAGATTTTAGGGTTTTTTGTAACATGCCTTACCGTTTCCCTAGCTTTACCTATTTATTAATATTTGCTTAGCTTGTTCCCCACGCCTTGATATCTGCATATTAAATTATCTGAGCCCAATGGACACTATGCCAAGCCCACATAAATCCGAGCCCCATAAGATCATTAGGTAGAGCTCCTTTGGGCCAGGCTACCAATAAAGCTTTCAAGTTGAACCGCTGGCTCAACAGGTAAAAAGGTCGAGCCCCCTTTGACCGAACAACTGGGTGTCGGTTTACCGTCTCATTTCCGTGTGCCCTATCAGTATTATTTGAACCAAAACCTTTACCCTTAATTATATAAATTTACTTATTTAGTTAGTTTATTATCTTTGTGATCTTCATTTATAAAAAATATAGTTAGCGGTACTTGAACTACTTGCATGCGTTTGGTTGTGAATGTTTCATATAAAATGATCGTGAGCAACTTGAAAAATTCGATGCTAAATGTAATGATGGTTTGTTTCTACGATATTCTAATAATAGCCGAGCATACATGGTGTATAATACAAGTACTCTCATTGTTATAGAATTCATGAATGTTACCTTAGATGAAATAACTCTCCATATTACTTCATTTGTGTCTATTAATCTGTCTAATGATATCTCACAAGTTCAACAAGAAATCACATATAAAGTGCCTGACTCAACTACGTTTAAAGCTAAAGAAAATGCGGATGAACCAGAGGGTGAACAAAATCTAGCGTATGAATACCATGTACCCACGCCTGGAAATCTGACCCGATCCAAATGGGATCCCTGTACAAAGATTCAGAAAGATCATCCTTATGATTTAGTGATTGGTGGTTTGAACGAGAGAGTAACAAGAAAATCCAAATGTGATATTAAAAGTTTAATGGAAAACTCTCAGTTTGCTTGTTATACCTTTTTAGTTGAACCGAAGAATGTTAAAGAGGCTCTGAAGGATGAATGTTGGACTCAAACAATGCAAGAAGAGCTTGAGCATTTTACCAGGAATGACGTCTGAGAGTTGGTGCCTGAACCTACATCCGATAGTGTAAACGGGACAAAGTGGATATTTAACAACAAGACAAACGAATTTGGGAACGTGACCAGGAACAAGGTAAGACTGGTAGCTTAGGGGTAAACTCAGACACATGGAGTAGACTTTGATGAGATCTTCGCTCCTGCAGCTAGGCTTGAGCTAGTTTGTATTTTTTTTTTTTTCGCCCATTGCATGTTTAATGAAATTTATTATGTATCAGGTTGACGTCAAGTCAGCTTTTTTGAATGAGATTCAAAAGTAGCGCGAAGTGAGACTCGACTAAAAGGAGAGGGACGAAGTAGTACACAAGCATTAAAAAAACAACAGCTATCAAGAATACGAATTTCCATCAGACACATGAATCGCACCTTTTGAAGCATTTTTTTTATCACTTTTGAAACGAGTGATTATTAGTATCACCTAGAGATAGATGCCGCTAATGGGGTCGTTTTTCCCACCCCCGAGACCTTAGTATGAGTGACTGACAATGTACCTTCTTGAGAAAGCTTTACGAAAGGGGAAGAAAACCAGACATTTTTTGCACTAAAAATAAACGAAGAGCTTCTGGTAGTTAGTACAAATCTATGTTGACGACATCATTTTGGTCACCATCCAAGAAGCCGGTTAACCATTTTGTGAAGCTCATTAGGGGTGAGCATGGTGCGGTTCGGTGCAAAACCGCACCGAACCACAAAAAACTGAAAACCGAATTTTTTTATTTACCCAAACCGAAACCGCACCGAAATTTTTGGTTCGGTGCGGTTCGGTTTCGGTTAACCGCAAATTAAAAACAAAATGAAACTACATCATCATCATCTAATGTGCAACATTACCAAACCAAAAGCCCAAAGTTTTTTAAAAAAAACTAAGGCAAGAAATTAGATTTAATGTAATGTTATTAATTTTTAATTGTTATTGTTATTATTTATTTCTTTACTTATTTATTGTTAATGTTAGTCATCCTAAACTAAAGGCCTAAAATGAGCATGTATATTTACAATAC